CACTGAGCCACATATTTAGATGCCCAAACCAGCAGTAAACGTTACCCCCGTAGAAGGCAGCCAAAGATTTCCTTCAATGAACTGAGAAACGGTGAAATTGTTAGCCTGATCCGAGTTGTTCAACACATGGTAACCAGGCCATTTGACTCGGCTTCCGAGTCCTGAACCAGGCCCGTAGTTCATGAACTCTCCGTAGAAGAGTGTGTCCAAAGCAAAGTCGGCGTTCCACTCGAGCCATCCTTCTGGTCTCACAACGTCGCTCATGTTGTTCCTCATGAATATAGTCCTTGAAAATTCCTTCCATGGCCTTCCTAGGTACGTGCGTGTCGTGTTTAGGTATGGAACCAAGTCTGAATCCGCCGAGATATTGCTGAACTGAATTGAGAATCCTGAAGGTAATCAAAAAGGTGTCCAAAGTGAGAGTCATTATATTGTATAGTTCATACATTGGTTGATTTGTGATTATGTAACTTTAAGGCTTACGCTTGTATTTACACTTGCGAATTAAGAAATACGTGAGAAGAATTACACTTGTGTCATCCAAGAAATTACCGAATCTCATTCTGCCAACCGTAAAACCTAATTGTGTTAATTTTTAATTCGTATATATAAAGTAAATTACTTAAAATTGAACAGAAGCGTAGAAAGTATTAGTTTCGAATAGATTTACAAGTTTTATAACACACTAAAAAAATAAATCAACCGGTTTGCTCAAAAAATTTACGGTTTTGATTGCATGATCCAATTTTCGGTTTTTGGCTTTCACTAAATTTTAGTTGCTCTTTAATCTGGTCTAAAAACTCTTTGGCTTTATATAAATTCAACTTGTTCACCAATGCGCTTCGCGTTGGCTCATGGTTTAAAACTTTGGTCAGGGTATAACACTGAAAGATCGATCGAGAACTAGTATTGAAAGAGTTTGAAGAAGATGTACCTGAGGGTTGGTTGGCATCTTTCCGACCTTGTGCAGTGATGGTATTCTTTTGGTTAGGTAGTCCTCTTCTAGCCAAAATTTGACAGTTTTGAAACACGACGGTCCCATCCCCGAATATAAAGTCTACCGTTCCCGTGATGGTGCATTCGCGGTAGAACTGACGCATGGTGTGCGTGTAGAGTGTATCTTGGTAACCTCTCATTGCACATCTATAGAACACAGAGAGATCAGAGTCCGACCTCAGAGCTACCGCCTGATGTTTCTCTGGCCCCGCTGTGTTTTGAAATGTTATATCTCGCGCTAGGAATCCTCTTGCACTTACAGCTGAATTTTATGTCACAATGTTTCAAATCCGTCAAGATTAAGAAATAATTGTAACCAATCTTATAAACAAAACATGAACTATATCTTTTAAATAAGAGCACTATGAGTGAGAAAGTTTTTTTCTACGTACGTACCGAATGTTGCTGATCGGAAAGTGGTCCAACCATCGATGAAATTGCGATTACCGGAAATAACGGTCACGTCAATGCCATCACCTAACATTACGAGGTTCCATTTCTTCTTCTTGATCTCAACATTCTCCAAATATAAACCTTTTTTAATGTATATGGTGAAACGTTCCGAGCTATAATCAGGAGCTTCCTTAATAGCGTCCATTATCTTTGTAAAGTTGCATGTTCCATCTAATGCTACACAAACGTTGTAACTCACACCGTTTGTTTCTAACAGTTTCCGATCACTCGATCTGACCCAGTCCGGGAATCCTAGGCTTTCCTCGTCGTTGTCAGTGTTTCTGAGTGACCGTCCTGGTGGGGCCTTTGGTCCTTTCGCAACTGGGGCAGGTTTAGAAACGGGTTTGGGTTTCTGGTCGGGTTGAACAAGTGGTAATAGATCCCTAAGCATAGAATATAGTTGATCGAGACTGCCTGAAACGAGACGAAATAAAATTAGAAACATTTATATTCATCAAAATTGGACATAACAACCAAACGGATATTCATCAATCCAAAATCGAACCAAATTTTATAACAATTGGTAGAGAAAATTTTATACTAAAGAAATAGAACTGAATCCAAATTTCGTGACGCTTGACCGAATAAACTCAAATTCAACAAAAGATGATATTTAAAATTACAAATAACAAAATTACAATAAGTTATTTTATTT